GGCTGATGCACTGATAAGTGTGTCAGTTTAGGGTAACTACCACCCTGACCCCCTGACTGATGCACTGATAAGTGTGTCACTGAGGGTAAAATACCACCCTGACCTCTGATGTGCACTGATAAGTGTGTCAGTGAGGGTAACTACCACCCTGACCTCTGACTGATGCACTGATAAGTGTGTCAGTGAGGGTAACTACCACCCTGACCTCTGACTGATGCACTGATAAGTGTGTCAGTGAGGGTAACTACCACCCTCAACTCTGACTGATGCACTGACAAGTGTGTCAGTGAGAGTGAGGAACTACCACCCTGACCTCTGACTGATGCACTGACAAGTGTGACAGTGAGGGTGAGGGACTACCACTCTGAACTCTGGCTGATACACTGATAAGTGCGTCAGTGAGGGTGACTACCACCCTCAGCTCTGACTGATGTACTGACAAGTGTGTCAGTGAGGGTGACTACCACCCTCAACTCCGACTGATGCACTGACAAGTGTGTCAGTGAGGATGAGGGACTACCACCCTGACCTCTGATGCACTGACAAGTGTGACAGTGAGGGTGACGGACTAACACCCTGACCTCTGATGATGCACTGACAAGTGTGTCAGTGAGGGTGAGAGACTACCACCCTGACCTCTGACTGATGCACTGATACATGAGGCAGGTGGTCTGAGGTGAGACATAAGCGAGCACTAGTAATAAAATGGATTATTCTTAACTGATTAAATTTTATATCGACAGGTGAACAAGGAAGCCCTGAACAAGCGCTATCAGCAAGGCTGGCTAGAGGAGTACACTGATGACCTCGACGTATTGATCAAGAGAGTCCGTGAAGCTAGGGCAAAGAAGCAAGTACGTGTGTGCCTGTGTACTCACCAACTCACTTGTATGTGGTTGCAGGGGTCGAGTCACAGCTCTTGACCCCTCTACTTCATTGATTGTTACTAGGTCCTCTCTCTCCCTGCTCCATGACCTTTATCATACCCCATTTTAAAACTATGTTTGGATCCTGCTTACACTACATCACTTTCAAGACGGTTCCTAATCTTGGCAAATCAATGGCTGAAAGAAATTCTTCCTAACATCCCTCTGGCTCATCTATGTCTTCAACTTCCAACTGTGACCCCTTGTTGATGTGTCCCATCTGTGGAACATCTTGTCTTTGTCCACCATGTTAATTCCTCTCAGTATTTTATATGCCGTTAACATATCGCCCCTATCCCTCCTGTCCTCCAGTGTCGTTAGGTCGATTTCCCTTACCCTTTCTTCGTAGGACATTACCTTTAGCTCCAGGACTAATCTTCTTGCAAACGTTTGTAGTCTCTCTAATGTCTTGACGTGCTCGACTAGGTGTGGGTTCCAGTTTGGTGCTGCATACTCCAAAATGGTCCTGACTTACACGGTGTACGTCAGTCCCATATTGGTATGGGTATGAGAATATTATTTCTAGGTTTGCCAGTCGCCCATATGCTGCAGCAATTATCTGGTTGATGTGCGCCTCAGGAGATAGATGTACTCGATATTATACTTACCCTAAGATCATTTTCTTTGAGTTAGGTTTGTAGTCTATGGCCCCCTAGCCTGTACTCTGTGGTTTTCTTTGCCCTTCCTCGATCTTCATGACTTTGCATTTGGCAGGGTTAAACTCAAGGAGCCAGTTGTTGGGCCAGGCTTGCAGCCTGTCCAGGTTTCTTTGTAGACCTGTCTGATCCTTATCCGATTCAATATTCCTCATTAACTTCACATCATCTGCAAACAGGGACACTTTTGAATCTATTCCCGGTAGGTATGTCATTCACATATACCAGAAACAGCACTGGGCCTAGGACTGACACCTGTGGAAACCCGCTCGTCACAGGCGCCCACTCTGACACCTCGTTACATAAGAACATAAGAAAGAAGGAACACTGCAGCAGGCCTACTGGCCCATGCGAGGCAGGTCCAAGTCGCCTACCGGCTTAAGCCAATGCCCCAACCTAGTCAGGTCAGGTCACATTCTCTTAAGGAAGGAACACGGCAACTGACCTGGTAGCACAAGCTAGTCAGGTTTAACTCTCACCCACCTACACCCACTCATGTATTTATCTAACCTATTTTTAAAACTACACAACGTTTTAGCTTCTATAACTGTACTTAGGAGTTTGTTTCACTCATCCACAACTCTATTACCAAACCAGTGCTTTCCTATATCCTTCCTGAATCTGAATGTTTCCAACTTAAAACCATTGCTGCGAGTCCTGTCTAGGCTAGATATTTTCAGCACACTATTTACATCCCCTTTATTTATTCCTGTCTTCCATTTATACACCTCAATCATATCCCCCCTAATTCTACGTCTTTCTAGAGAGTGCAGATTCAGGGCCCTTAGTCTATCCTCATAGGGAAGATTTCTGATACATGGGATCATCTTTGTCATCCTACTTTGTATGTTTTCCAGAGCATTTATATCCATTCTGTAATACTGTGACTAGAACTGTGCAGCATAATCTAAATGAGGTCTTACCAAGGAAATATAGAGCTGAAGGACAACCTGAGGACTCCTATTATTTATGCTTCTTGATATGAAGCCAAGGATTCTGTTAGCTTTATTGCAAACACTTATATACTGTTGTCTTGGCTTCAGATTACTGCTAACCAGAACTCCTAAATCTTTTTCGGAATCCGCAATATTAAGATCTACATTATTTAGTTTATATGTGGCATGGTTATTTTCCTGTCCAACATTTAGAACTTTGCATTTGTCTATATTAAACTGCATCTGCCACTTCTCCGACCACTGCATCAGTCTTTTCAAATCATCCTGGAGTGCTCTAATGTCCTCCTCAAAATGAATTCGACGGCCTATTTTGGTGTCATCTGCAAACTTGCTTGTCACTTTTTATACCCTCATCAAAGTTGTTTATGTAAATTGTGAACAACAAGGGGCCCAACACTGACCCCTGTGGAACACCGCTCGTGACGCTTCCCCACTCTGATTTCTCCCCATTTCCATGTGCCTTAATTTTCCTCAATAGTCTCTGATGTGGGACCCTGTCAAAAGCTTTACTGAAGTCTATATACACAATATCATATTCATTACCATGATCTACCTCCTCAAATACCTTAGTGAAAAAAGTTAATAAATTCGTAAGGCAAGAACGCCCCTTTGTAAAACCATGCTGAGATTCGTTGATTAGTTTGTGTTTTTCAAGGTGGCTATGAACTGCCTCGGCAATTCATAAATTTTCCCACTATGGAGGTTAGGCTTATTGGTCTATAGTTTGAAGCTAAGGACATGTCACCTGCTTTGAAAATTGGTATCACATTTGCCATTTTCCACTTATCTGACACTATGCCAGTCTGTAGTGATATGTTGAAAAGATTAGCCAAAGGTTTGCTAAGCTCCTCTTTACATTCCTTTAGAACCCTTGCATACAGTTCATCAGGGCCTGGGGATTTGTTAGGTTTTAATTTATCTATTTGCCTAGGGACCATGTCACTTGTGACCCTAATCGTGCATAGTTTATCATCATCCTGTTCTACATAACTTATTATTTCTGGAATATCGCTAGTATCTTCCTGTGTAAAAACTGAGAGGAAGTATGTGTTAAAAATTCTACACATTTCCTTATCACTGTCTGTGAGCTGGCCCGAGTAACTTTTGAGTAGGCCTATCTTTTCCCTGATCTTACTTCTGTATACCTGAAAGAATCTTTTGGGTTAGTCTTCGATTCTCTTGCAACTTTAACCTCATAATCTCTTTTTGCTTTTCTTATTCCTTTTTTTATTTCTCTCTTTAACTGAATATATTTATTTCTTAATTGCTCCCTCTCCTCTTTTGATTTTCCTATATGTGCCTCTCTTTTGACCAATGAGATATTTTAATCAATTGTTCATCCATTTAGGATCATTTTTGTTTGATCTGATTTCTTTATTTGGAACTTAATTGTCAGAGCAACTAGAACTATGTCCTGGAAAACGTCATATCGGCAATCATCACCACCTACCTGACCCATAGTCAGGTCATTCCAGTTCAGCCCACTCAAGTAATTTTTCAGTCTTATGAAATCAGCCAAACGGAAGTGAGGGACAGAGACTTGATTGCCATTATTAGGGGAATTCCATGATATATTAAAACTGAGTGATTTGTGATCACTTTCCCCAAGCTCATCATTAACCTCAAGGTTATTAATTAGCGTTTCCCTGCTGGCAAGAACCAAGTCATGCAGGGTATTTCCTCTAGCTGGTTCTGTCACAAACTGTTTTAAAAAACAATCTTGAATCGTATCAATTAAGTCACTTGACTCTAAATTTTCTGTCAAACTGCTCCAGTCAATCTGTCTATAGTTGAAATCTCCCATTATCACAACATTTTCATATGTAGATCCCTTACGAATTTCATCCCATAGAAGTTTACCGCACTCCCTATCAAGATTTGGGGCCCTGTAAATCACTCCCAAAATTAGTTTTTCACGGCCCTCGAGAAGCTGTAACCAAACAGATTCAGTGGCTGTTGCTTCTAATTTTATATCTTGTCTAACACAACAATTTAAATTGTCTCTGAAGTGCATCGCTACTCCACCATCCTTCCTGTTGACCCTGTCAGTGTGGAATAATTTACAGCTTTGTATGTGACATTCAGAAGGCATCTCTCTGTCTTTCAGATTGAGCCAGGTCTCTGTTATAGCAATGATATCTATGTTTCCTGCCCTTGCAATTAATCTTAGCTCATCTATCTTATTTCTTACACTCCTGCTATTAGTATAGTAAACCTTAAGGGAGCTAGTCCCTTGCTGCCCTCTGCTTTCATACCATGACTCATTGTTGCCTCCCTGTCAGGTATTCTCTGATCCATTGCAGTACCTTTCCTGTTATGCATGCCTGATCCTCTAGCTTTTGTGCTAATTTTTTGTGAGAAACTGTGTCGAAAGCTTACATTCCAAGTAAATGCAATCTACCCCCCCCCCCTCTCTCTTTTATCTTACGACTGTTACCTTGTTATAAAACTCCAGTAGGTTTGTGAAACAGCTGATTGTCATGTATAAGCTTGCTCCTTTCTAGGTCCTCCACCACTTTCCTCCTGATAATCTTCTTTATAACCTTGCATACAATACATGTCACTGACACTGGTCTGTAGTTTAGTGTCTCATGTCTATTACCTTTCCCAAAAATTGGAATTACATTTGCCTTCTTCCATACTTCAGGTAGTTGCCAAGTTTCAGTGGATGTTACTGACACATATGGCATCTCTGCTCTCTTTCTAAGGACCCACGGAGGGATATTTTCAGGTCCCACCGCATTTGAGGCATGTAGTTCACTTAGCAGCGTCTTCACCTCCTCCTCGGATGTGTGTATCTCGTCTAGCACTTGTCGATGTAACCTTTGCTGGTGTATCCCACTATTCTGGCTATTGGAGTCCTTCCTGTCTCCACTGTAGATACTTCTTTAAATCTCACGTTGAGCTTCTGACATTCTTCTCGGGCGTTTCTTCCGAACTCCCCTCCATCCTTTCTCAGTTTGATTACCTGGTCCTTGACTGTTGTTTCCCTCCTGATGTGGCTTTGCAACAGCTTCGAGTCAGACTTGGCTTTCGATGTTATGTCGTTTTCGTACTGTCGCTGAGCCTCTCTCATCTGGGTATTTCTGTTTTTGGCTCTTCTACTAATTTCTTCATTGTCCTGGGTTCTTTGTCTTCTGTACTTTTTCCATTCACTAGCACACTTAATTTTTGCCTCCCTACACATTTGGGTAAATTAAGAACTCGTTTTGGTCTTCCCATTATTTTTGTTGCCGTTAGGAACAAACCTGTCTTCTGCCTCCTTGCATTTTGTTGTCACGTATCCCATCATCTCGTTTACTGATTTTCCTATCAATTCTCTTACCCACTGAACCTCTTGCAGGAAATTTCTCATGCATGTATAGCCCCCCCTTTTGTAGTTTGGTTTTTCCCGTCCTACTCTTGTTATCCTCTCTACTACTAACTCTACTAAGTATTCTAAGCTGAGAAATACGTGATCACTAGCTCCGAGGGGCCTGTCATATGTGATGTCCGAGATACTTAAGGTAAATACTAGGTCCAGTCTTGCTGGTTCATCCTCACCTCTTTTTCTGGTAGTGTCCCTAACATGTTGATGCATGAGGTTTTCCGGTACCACATCCATCATCTTCGCTCTCCATGTTTCGGGACCCCCATGTGGCTTCAGCTTTTCCCAATCAATCTCCTTGTGTGTGTGTGTGTGTGTGTGTGTGTGTGTGTGTGTGTGTGTTATGGGTGGGTGGGTTGGTGTTAATGTGTGTATGAGTTTGTGTAATCACTTGTATGTTGCTGCAGGGGTCGAATCTTAACTCCTGGTCCTGCTTTTCATGCCTCTTGCCAGACTTACTCCCTCCTAGCCTCGTGAGCCTTACCATGCCTGCTATTAAAGGTAAGTATACAGGTTACGTTAGCCACTTCTCCGAGGTCATTCCATTTTCCTACCACCCAGAAACACCCTCTCCCTGTCTACCCAATCTATTCCCTGAGAATACTGTATGTTGTTATAAAATCTTCTTTCGTTCTTTCATTGTCCAGTTTTGTTAAGTTCAATTCCATTTAGGTTCTCGTAGATCATACTTTTAACTCAGGAACTTGCCTTGTATACTTCTACACTATCTCCTGCTTCTTAACATGCTTCCTCAGGTGTGGGTTCTTTTCTGGTCTTGCTCAATCCAAGAATGACTTGACGTATGATGAGATTCCTGAAGGCAAATTCCACATGTGACAGGCGAGTTAGGTTAGACAATATGCTCACCTCAGTGTCTCTCTTGTTTACTGAAGTTGGTATCTTCTATCCCCCAAGACCATACAACTTGTCCGGTCTTCTATTCCTTTCCCAGAATTCAGTCAACCGTTTATTAGACCATTCTTGCAATTTGTTCAAATTCATTTGCAGCTTTCCCCTGTCAGTGTCTGTTTTTATTCTTCTCGTCAGTCATACATCATCAGCAATCTGTCATACATCTGACTCACTCTTGTCTAGAATATCCTTCACTGCCCCTTATACCATTCCTTGCGGTACTCCACTTGTTGTCCTTCCCATTATGAAGTCTTCCCAGACAATCATTCTTTGCCTCCTTCTAATAAGGTACTCTATGATCCATAGGAATATGTTCCCTGTTATTTCTGCCTGAGCCACAAGTTTTTGTTTTTGATCCTTGGTGGGTCCCGCTCTTTACAAGCACCCATTCCGACACCTCTTCCCCAACAATCACTAGTTGTTTCTTTTCTCTCAGTTATGACTTGATACATTGCAGTGCTTTCCCTGTTGTTCCTGCCTGCTCCTCTAGCTTATGTACCAGTCTCTTGTGTGATACTACGTTAGAAGCCTTCCTACGGTCCAAGAAGATGCGAGCTACCTCTCTCTCTCCCACTCTTCTGCCTTACCTCTGTTACCTTGTGGAAGAACTCCAGTACGTTTCTAAGCATGTTGTCATGTATCAACCTACCGCTCTGTAAGTGCTCCATCACTCTTTTCCTGAT